GGACATGATGGCCTCCCAGCCGAGTTTTGGAAGGCAATCTGTCGTGAGGACACTCCAGCCTGCAAATGGGCGGTTTTGTTGTGCAATCGTGTTTGGCAACATGTCGATGTCCCGGAAGCTTGGCATAACGGCTTGGTTACTGCAATTTTCAAAAAAGGCGACGAAGGTAGCTGTGAGAATTACCGCCCTATTTCGCTACTCGCGGTCGGCTACAAGTTATTTGCCTCCATTCTCCTGCGCAGGTTGCGCGGAGCCGGTGCTGAAGATCGCATTTGGACGACTCAGATGGGATTCCGCAGCAACCGGGGTACTGGGGATGCAATTTTTGTTGCACGACGCTTGATTGAACATGCGTGGGCCACACATGACGGAAGTCTGTTACTCCTTTTTTTGGATTGGGCAAAGGCTTTTGACAGTGTTGCCCCAGGTGCTCTGGTCAAAGCGTTGCAAAGATATGGGATCCCAACGCATTTTTGTCGTGTGGTTCAAGCAGTTTATTCCCAAAGGCGGTTTCAAGTGGGGGTTGACGGACAGATGTCAACGACTCGGTGCCAAGAACATGGCATTTCCCAAGGCTGTCTGCTCTCGCCTTTTCTGTTCTCCATTTTGATGACAGTGTTGTTGCATGATGCAGACATGGATTTGCGGAGTTGTGGAGGGCCCAATTTGCCCGCAGCCTTGGTGAGTGATCTGGTTTACGCAGATGATACGCTCGTTGTGGCCGTCGAACAGGAAAGAGCTGAGTTGCACATGAACTGCATCGCCCGTGCCGGGTCCAACTATGCACTGACTTTCAACTGGAAAAAAGTGGTGTTGATGCCAATTCGATGCCAAGCTTCCATTCTGAAACCAGACGGGTGTGAAATTCCGAGCAAATCTTCCTGGGTGTATTTGGGCAGTACGTTGTAAGCATCTGGTGACATCATTTCGGAAGTGAGTCGACGACTGGGTATGGCACGCGCTGATTTCACTGCTCTGGAGCGAGTCTGGAAACACTCCTCATTGACTTTTCGCAGCAAATTGCGGGTTTTCAACGCATGTGTAGTGTCGAAACTTCTTTATTGCCTGCACACTGCTTGGCTTTGTTAAGCCGATTTGAGGAGGTTAGATGCTTTCCAAGCAAGCTGTCTCCGCAAGATTCTTCGCATTCCCCATTCGTTCATAAGCAGAGCTTCGAACGCAAAAGTTCTGAGCCGGGCAAATCACCGTATGCTGTCCAAGATTCTGCAGTACAGACAGATAATGTTGTTGAAACGTGTAGCCGATTTACCTTCGGAAGACGTCATGAGAACATGTGTCTTTCAGAGTGATTCTTTTAATTTACTTGGCGTAAAGGGAAGCCGCCGACGCGGACGCCCAAGGAAACGTTGGGCTGTTGAAGTGTACAGGTTTGTTAAAAGCACGGCCGATTATGACCGGTGTTCGCTTGACAGTTTGTGGCAGCTGCCTCTTTCTCAATGGAAATGGCGGGCTGCGAATTTCTGCTTTGGTGCCTGACTGCTGGCACTTGTTCATGCCCATGTGTCACACTCACACTGTAGGCTTATGCTGCACTTTGCCTGGAACCTCCCGTGGAGGGGGTCGATGACGCTTCCGGAGACCCTGCGAGATGTTGGGCGGGGAAGGGTGTGGGAGGCCGCGGGAGCCCCCCGCAAGTCGACTCCTTCCTTCCTTCTGTCCTTCCGCAGATGTTCATCGGTGCGCCCTGATGGCCCCGCTGCCTCTCCCCTCCGCGCCCGGCGGAGTTTTTGTCGGCAACATCTGTTTGTTGAGTTGGGCGGGTGCGCCAGAGAGTTGGGCAGGCGGGCGTCGCTCCGGGTCCTGCAACGTGGTGGACGTTTTGGCTGTGGCGGGTGTTAATGATGGGGCAGTGAGTGCGTTAGCCGCGGCCGACATCTCCTTTTTGCGCGCTAGCGCCGCAGCCAGATCAGCCCGACGGTGGAGGTCCGCATACAAGCCGTTTTGGAGGTCGAGCACGAGCAGCGCCACGGCACGGGCCGATACGGACAACCCGGGCCGTATCCCTGCAGCTGCACCAAATGGAGTTCGCACAATAAGCGTTCACGACGCCCAAGTTCTTCTGCAGAGACGTGAGGGGTATACCTGGGGCGTGGAACAGCAACATCCGCGATTGGAAAGTGCACACTCTGTGTTGCAGCTCGGCGGTCATATCAACCGACCGCATATATGGCAAAAGTGCGGGAAACCCGGGTCGGCCCCCCCCAGCCATTGTAGGCTGCATGCGTGTGACCTTCGGGGCGGAAGTTGGGTCGCGGTCCGTGTCAAGCTGTGCCTGTTGCGCTGGCACTTTTGCCGCCGGCCCTCACCGCGGGCGACGCAGGCAGTGAAGTTGGCGACATGTTCGTCCACATGCGCAGTTTACTGGTTGTCGGTCACTGCGATTGCAGGCTCGCTCAAGGCTGCTGCTTTACTGGAAATTTGCACCGTTTTGCCCATCCCTGCGTAGCACAGCAGCAAGGTGAGCTGGCTGCAAGGTAAAAAATGTGCGGATGGCAGGGCCGCGATTGCAACTGGCAACGGGGCGGAGCCGCCATCCGGCGCTTCAGCCTCCAAGCAGTGTAGAGCTTCAATTGGCGTCGTTGCGGCGCCTGCGTGCGCTTGCTGAGCGATGGCTGCTTGCAGCCGTGTTCTTCCAGCTGTCCTGCCGCGTGGAGGAGAGTGTGACCCCCGTGTTGGCTGAGGTCGTCGGACGCCCCAGGCCTGAAGACCTAAAGCCCCTAAACACCCTAGACCTTGAAAACCTTGAAAACCTTAAATCCTGAAAATCCTAAGTCCTAGCCACCGTAAACACCCTTAACCCCCAGAAGAATAAAACCTAAAGGCCCGAAAAACCGTGAACCCTAAAAACCCTTCACCTTGAAAACCCTGAACCCCCTAACCTCCCTAAACCTTAAAACCACTTATAGCATCCCACTAAGCACCCTAAACCCCCAAAAAACGTAAACCAACAAAAAGCTAAAAGCTTGATTTCTGGAAGTTGCGGAAACCTATGGGTCTGGGCGCCCTGATCCTAAACACATTAACTACAGAACACACCGTAGGCCGCGAGCTGCAGGCGTCGGACCGCCGGGACGCGGGCTGAGGGCCACGGGACATGGGCAGCGGAGGTGCGCGGACGCGCGAATGTTCTACTATTGTTGGTGAAGTCCGCAAGGCTGCTCCTGGCGGGATTGCTGGAAGCGCTGTTGGGAGACCTGTTGCTTGCAGTGCTTGGCACCGACGCCGCGGAGCCCGCATCCGCCTCGGGCGCGCACCCGAGGAGGGCAGGCAATCAGGGCCGAGCACAAGGCGCTGTTCTGGTCAAAGCTGCGCAGGCTCATAGTGCGCGTCACCCTGGGACGCCGCACCAGCACCACCGTCAGCGCATCGGGGAGGCGAGCCACGCTGGCCCGTACACCTCCGACGGCGTGCTTCCTTCAGGGCTCAGCGTGGCATCGGGCAAAGCAGTGCCAGCACACGGGGGAAGTCACTCCCGAGCTGCCACACCCACGTGCACACCGCAGGCTTCACCGCAAGAACCGGCAATGTTGCACCAAAGGGCGATCGCCTGGGGGGTTTAAGGGTATTCGGGGTACAGGGTTTTAGGGTTTAGGATTTTTAGGGTTTTTGGGGTTTAGTGTTTTTGAGGGTTAGGGTGTTGAAGGATTTATAGGCTTTAGGGGCTTTTGGGTTTCTGGGTGAGGGCTGTTTGGGGTTTGGGCTGTCTAGGGTTTGTAGTGTTTACGGTTTTTAGGGTTAGGGGTGTTTGGAGTTTTTTAGGGTTTACGTAGGCTTCTAGGGTTTTAGAATTCAGCGCTTTTAGGGTTTAGGGTTTTTGGGATTTTGGTTGTCCACCGCTTCGTGAGTGTGCTCCCAACGGCCACTTGCACTTGTGCCCACGGGGCCCGCGCTTGTCCCGAACCCGCGCAAGCCTTTGGATGAATGCTGTGGCGCGGCTGATACGTCCTCCGACTTCGAGGCCGAAGACTACCGACAGTCCGCAGCTCCGGGTACGTGCGTTGTTTGCGTGTGGCTGCCTGTTGGAGCCAAGGCCCGGCATGGCGGCGGCACAAGGCCGCGGCTGACCATCGCGCCAGATCGGGCTTACCAGCGTGGTGTCGACGTTCAGGTCCCGCAGGGCAGCGCTTGTCGCGACCCGAGTTCTGGCCTCGCGGTAGATGCATGCTGCAGCACGCTCAAACTGTCTGGCTTTGCACACGCCCTGTGGTTCCTGGAGCTTTATTTCCTAGACCCAAAACTTGAAGATTGCACTCCAAACTGTCATCGTTGCCCGCTGAGCTTTTTCAGGCTTTAGCTCCTAAATCATAAGCTTTAAAACCCTAAGCTTCTACAACTTGAACCCTCAGAACCGAAACCTTAAATCCTAAGACCCTAGACTGCTTTGTATCCGGTCCTGTAGTTCGGCAACGAAAAGAACCTTGCAAATCCTGAAGCAGGATAGGCGCTGGACGGGGAAATCAGACAGAAAGTGTTCAAGTATAGCAAGTCCAACGAACCATGAACTCCGTGTTCATGTCCAAACCCATGTTTATTGCGATAGCGTATTTGCATGAAGAGAATTTGGTGGTACCAATATTTCGAATGTATCTGAGACATAAGCTGCACGGTGAATGTGTGAGCAAGTATGGCCCCCTGCACGATTGCGACATTTCTGCTCAATCACCGGTGAGACGCATGCTGCAGCTGGACAATCATGCGGCCACCTGTGCAATGAGGCTGCAATTGCTGCCATGTTCATGCTTGCTTTATAGGCATCAAGTCACGATGGGGCAAGGATTCTGACATATTTTTCAGTGATGTCAGCGGAGGTATTGACCTCCTTCATGATGCAAGTGTGGGCAGTCTTTGCGAATGAATGATGTGTGGTCAACGCCATCTGTTGGAGGTTCCTAGCCCCATGGCCACGCCACTGTAGCAGACATAGCTCATCACATTTTTTTTAAATGTTTTGTCAGCAACTGATTAGCGCAGGACGCAGTATGTCACCATCATGCCGGCCTTCAAGCTCTGTCATTGCGACGACGTCAATTTACCATTTGCCACCAACGTGCGTCGCAAAAGCCGCTGCGTTGTTGCGTGGTCATCCAGATCATTTGGAATCTTATTTGTGCCAGCAATACAGCGTGCAGGCGTTATGGCGGCAAGGCGTAGAGAAAGCAGAGGTCATTGCGGCCTCACGTGATGTAACTCCAACGAATGAACCGCATCAATCACCGCGAACGCGGTATGTCATGCAACTTTTAGGACAAGTGATTTGGGAGGCCGAGCTGTGTGCGAGCACTTCGCAGAGCCAGGCTGATTTGTTTGAGCGGGCTACGCCGCGTCATCTTGACAGAAGCCGTGGTGTTGACCGCAGCTCATCACCTGAAGCCAGGGTGGTTGCAGATGGTACCTGCGTTCGGTCAAAGTTGCGCCCCAGACCTCAGTCTGCAGGTATTCGCAAGAAAGAGAACACTGAAGAGTTTGGACTTGGGGACTTGCAGCGCTGGGAAAGCAAAGTGTCTTTTGCACTCTACATGAAGGCGCAACACCACAAAGAGAAGCAGGAACGAGCTCGACTGAGGAATTCGCGAATCGAGGTCGTACGGGCCAATAATGCTCATTTGAAGCAGGAGCAAGCAGAGCAGCAGCAGTCGAGATGGCAATGCCGCAGCAAAGATCATCAGGAACGTGTTGCGAGAAGCAAGGGTGCCAAGCAGGAATTGTCGGAACTGATGATGAACGCAGCCGCTGTAAGACAAGCTGTTCTGGAAACGAATCGGCGCAAACTGGTCAAAGAACAGGAGGAGTCGCGATCGAAACGGATTGAGCAAGAGACTCAAAGGCGCTGGCCAACTGCTTTGGCTGTACGGGAAATCAAAATTTCCCTCGGCTCGGGATTGTGTAGCAAGTTGATTGCTTTCCGGAACAGTGACCATGATATAACCCAAGAGGGTTACATTGAATATCACAACTCCTCGTTGCTCTCCCTCCCTGCAGGCAACATGAGGCAGAGCAGAAGCGTCGGGCATTGTTGCAGGAGAAGGGTGCTGGAAGGGCCAAGTTGCGGGCAACACGGGAGATCTCGCATAAGCAGGCCGCACGTTTGGAGCGACGCTTCAGCTAGATTATGTTGAGTTGTAAAAGGTTCCAGCCTTGTAGCGGATGCGTGCTCAGCTGAGGCATTCGTTGTGTGGAGCGTGAAGTTCTGCGACAAAAATTGGATTTCAAGTCTCCGTCAGCTACCCCATCGCTTTCGCCGCGTCGAAGCCGACCCAGCAGCGCTAGAAGTTCGCAACCGCTTGTCCCACATCCACCGTCCAGCAAAGCTCCAGCGAGCCGGCGTCCCTTGGTCCATGGGTACAAATATGATAGTCACGGCGGCCAGACTGACTGGGAGCCTCTTGTTGGAACTGTCCCGGAGCCCTCCTTAATGCCTTGGCCACGCTGCGCAGACGTTTCTGGTCAGGCGGGCTTCAAGGAACAATTCTCACTGTTGCTGTACGCATGTTACTAGTGCTTAATCCCTCAGGGCGATGAGACTACCCAAAGAAGCAGGCCGAGTTCGAGCCATGGGGTAGACATGCACTCACGCACGACTTGCATGCCCAGCAAAACGCAGTTGCCTTATTCTTCCGTGTCTGCGGAGAAATCTGGCGAAGACTTCGGTGTTGAAGGCATTTTCCCAGTATCTGGTTTCCGAAAGGCGGTGGCTGCAGTTGAACCTTGAAAAATGCTTGCTATGTCTAGTGATATGTGGTTCTAGTTGCACTGGACATGGCGTGGGAGACCATGCGGAAAATGCGTGCCTTGAGGTGCCGCCGGGTGACGTTTTGGAAGAGGACTTGGCCACGGCTGTTGGCCATTTTCGAGACGTCTTGCATTGGGCCTCGTCCAAGGATGAGGGCTTGAACACGGAGCCCGAGCACATGTTGCAGATCGCCTCTGCGATCTTTCAAGGTAGACTTGATGATTTTTTCTAGTTAAAAACTCTTGCCAGCATTTTGTTTCTCATATATTTATATCTACATGCATGCTGTGTGCAAGTCGCTGCTCGTTGAGCTTGTGGTTAACTTATGTCGTCCAGTGATGCATGGGTCGGACGAGGACCTACTTTTTTTTGCCAAGCGAGGTCCGTCAAATGTACATGTAGGACATAATTCCAGCTGGAGATTCGTTAAAAGTGCTTGGGAACAATTCGCAGCTTGGAAGAAACCGGACAGCTGAGTGCCTCGTAACCTTAAACCCGTATCTTTCGACAGAGGTTGAAGGTGGCTCGACTCTACCTGCTCATCCAGCTGAAGAGCAGCCAGAGCACGGTCTTGGAGCAGAGGCCGGGAATTGCAACGCGGCAGAAATTCAAGATGGCCAGGGCAGCACCCTGTCCTTGAACCAGCCTGCTTCTTGGCTCCATTGACTTGGTCTCAGTTACAAAAGGAACAAGGCGTAGCAGGCTCAGATCATTGTAGCCAGGTTGACAATTACCAGAGTGATGACGCAGACGGACAGACCAGTCAACTTGGTCAACCGCTTGCCATCCAGTCTTCTGGCAGAATCATTGCTGAGAGCCACGCTGCCCAGCACACTGCTGCAGACGGAGATGATGCTGAAACTGGTGAGCAGAGGCCTTCAGAGCCTGTAGAAGTGCCCTGGCTGCTTCAATGCCCGACCCAACAAGCTTCACACGGGAGAGAGGGTCGCGCTTGAAACTTGTGTTTGGCATATGCAGAACATGGACCAGACACAGCGCTTCAGCAAAGCTGCATGGCAGTTGTTGGAAATAAGCCTCTGGATTAAGCAAAAAACACTGGCCCATGCACCTGCGAGCTGTTGCTGCAGATCATAGCTAATTTGCGGTTCGTCTGACACGTGCTGTCGTGGCTTGCTCACTCGCTGGTTCTCTCTCTCTCTCTCTCTCTCCCTCTTCTCCTTCCCTGTCTCTCCCCCTCCGTCCTTTTTCCCGTCTTCCAGGGTGATGCAAGCCAGCGGAGCAGGGCAAGTTCCTCATTGCAGCCCGAGGCAGCCAAGAGGAAGATTTCCATGGCGTGTTCAGGAGTTTCAGGAGTTGAAGGAAGTGTGGTGGAGTCTGATTCTGCTGATGTAATGATGCGCGCTCACATCACTGATGGCGGCTCGAGCGCAGGGCCGGAGCACAAGCAACCGACAGCTGCCAAGTTGAACTTAGGCATTGCAGCGCAAAAATGACCAGGGCATAGTTGTGAAGAAAGCTTTGTGCACCAGGTTGGGCTGTTCTTATATGGCAAGACAGCACCAGAAGAAGGGGATTGGGAGCTGTTGGGGCCGATGCTGCCCGCGCGAGCTCTTGAGGACACTGTGCAAGCCTTCGTTTCTGGTAGTGCCTTTGGTGAGAGATTTGCACCCCAGTGCAGGAATCGGTTGATGCAGAAGCTGCAAGCGAAGCGGATGGTCAGACTTGGCCCCGGCATGCACTAGCTGCAGCGGCTCACCTGAACCATGCACAAAGCGCTCCCGTCCTTGGTCAAGATTCAGATTTCGAGCATTGGGAGCCGAATGATTGGGGCGCAGTCCAAAGCAAAGCGCTGCAGAGCAGTCGCGGCGATGGTGCGCAGGCGATTTCGGGCAAAATCCAGAACATGCCTGAGACTCCTTGTGTGCTCAATGCGGCAGGTGACGTCTGCAGCGCCCTCGAAGCAACTGGAGATAGTTCTGGAAGCGGAGGATGTGAAGGCCGGCGCTGTGGGAGGAGACAGAGACGCTTGGTCGCAAGATCCTGCGCGTTTCTAGGCTCGCGAGCCTGCTGCTGGACCTTCTGCCCCTGTGAGGTTGATAAGCGGATCCCACCAGGCAGCGAGACAAGCAGCCACAGCTCATCCTCATAGAGCCTTGCCTGAACCTTCACCGCCATTGCTTGACTGGGTGCGGGTCCTACCAGTGAGCCGAAACCAAGCGAAAATCATAAAATTTGTCACCTAGGGATGCGTTCCCCAGTCGGTCGCTTCATCACCCCTTTTGAATCAATGCCTCTTAAGTTTTTGTTTGTCAGTCGGTCTTTTTTTGGATGATGCTTGCTTGTCACCTTGTGTTTCAGTCCTTGTCTGTGCATGTTTGCGGCTGTCAAAGTAAGGACCCGGCATAGGCGGCGCATTTGAATCCGAGTGTGGCCAAGCCAGGTCCCCTGTAAATGCTTTTCCAAGCAGCTGTCCAAGATGGGCTGGCGCTTTGTTTCACACCAACACCAGTGTATCTCCTCATAAACAACATTGGAGAATCAAATCGGGAAAGCAAGTGGGCAATGAAATTGAGCTTTGGTTTATGTAGGAGTTTGTGGTAAAAAGCGAAGAAGCAGCGAGCACAGCCTGTGGAGCATGGGGTGCACTTCTGTCGACTGCGCCACCGCACGCCGTAGCTGTGGGCTCAACATCCGAATGCGATTCGGTGACATATGACAGCAGCTTGGATTCATATTGTGCCCATGCAACTTTCCCTGTCGTACTTGGCATATGTTCCTGCCAGGAATACACCCACGCGCGATTGTTGGAACGCGATTCGTTGGTACAGCTGGCATCTGCGCGCGAGAATTTGGCCTTCGACGAGACAGGCTGATTGCTCAGGAGATTTGTTCGGAGGTTGTGGTGCTGTCAAAGGACTGCTGTCGACAAGTGAAGTTTCTGAGGCAATTCAATTGAAACTGGAAGTGCCAAAAGCCGTGGTCTCAGAATTTGACGTACGAGTGCAGTGGCTCAATTCTAGCCTAATTTCCTCCAGTTTGAAGTTAGCATATAGCAACAGATATGAGGTTTTGCGGCTGCGGAAAGATTTCTGGAGGTTTTGGAAGGTGGGCAGGGTTTGAAAATTGTCTGTTTCTTTAGGGTCTCTAGCTATTCGTTAGGCGCAAGTCGCTTGAGCTGCTAGGTGTGGCCACGGCTTTTGCATTGGAGCCAGCGTGCCGACAGTATCGAGCCTTGGACGGCACAGGGAGTTTGGAGAATGCTAAGCTGCTAAGCTTACGGCTTACGACTCGATGTTGGGCATGGCGATTGCTGGCGGAGTGCGTGGCGTGCAGGTACCAGCTTTCAAGAGCATTTTGCTGATTTAGAAGCTCAGCGGGACTACAGCCACTCCGCTGCAACATTTTGCGGACTTCTTGAGCTAGGTGTCTGCTGCAGCCAGGACATCAGTACCGTGAATCATCTGGTCGCATGTACCGTCTGCCTACACCACCTTTCCACCAACATCTGAGGCGTGACTGTCCTGGAAGCTTGCCTAAGCTTGAGACGCAGTGGGGCCATATGGGCAAATGGCCAGAAGTTTGAGCTCAGTCAGGAAGCAGATACTTGACTTCTCTAGGGGCCTGGCAGATGAATGATGTGATGAACTGCGCACATGCAAGCTGCAAACACCCTCAGCAATTGCCAGAAGGCTAGAATACATTTTCATTCTAGTGGCAGAGGACATGACATGTTTGCCTGTGGCAAGGAGACGGCTTGCCTGGCTCTTCACGAGGAATGGCAGGATCTTCTTCAGCAGCTTGATCGCTACCTGACCACATCGCTAGAACATGGCCAGATTCGCGATCGAGAGAACTTGCACCTCCGCTGCACTTGCTGAGAGCAGAAACTGACACACACACACACACATGTATATGTATATGTATACATATGTGTGTATATAGAGGAATTTTGTAGGGGTATGGAAAATACATGGAAACGACTATAGTATATTTGGTAAACAAATAGGACAACTGAACATATGAGTACACTGGGCCGGGCACAAGACTAGATGAAGCCATTGGGCAAAAAAAGCAGATCAAGAGCCTCGTAAAAAGAAATATTGCATCATCTCCTCCGGGGCTGGAGAGTAACGTGTTGCTGCTTACTGTCATCCTTGAGTGACCTGTCCCAGCAAGTGTACCCATTTGGCACTAGATCCCAGAGATGTTTTCAGATTACGTGTGCAGCCAGAGGGTGATGATGCCATGAGTGTAGTGAGATTGGAGATGCCGCAGTTTCTTTACTGAGTGTTGCTTGCGGAGTCAGTACCGTATGGTACTACGACATGAGGCGGCACCCAGGCGACACAGCTTCCCTGCTGCGCCAGTAGTGCGACGTGGGGGGGCCTCAGGTGATATGCCTGACAAGTCATCTAGAGTCACAGCCTGTCCTGATGTTGGACTCTTTACCATGTTGGACTTTTTACCATGTCTGCACGTTGTCTGGTTGGTTGCTGAATGCTGTGACCTTGAGATGACCTGTTAGTATCACAGCCTGGTAGAGATGGGCAGAAGCTTTCCTGGCGCAGTGTACTAATATTAGTCCCTGGGTACCCTCAAGTCCTTGAACTACGAGTCGGGGATCACACTTTTCCATGAACATAGATGTCGCCTCCTGGGTCCGACCTGCCTGAGCCACGCTGCGTGCGGCTTGGGGGTGTCCCCCGAGGGTGTCGTAGGGCACCCTATAGCCGTTAGAAGAAGAAGAAGAAGAGAGAGAGAGAGAGAGAGGGAAGCAGATAAGTGACAATGCACAGGTGGGAGAGAAGGCGTAAATTCAAAGTGCAAAGAGGTAGGAAAGTCGAAGCATTGACAAGGATGTACAAAACTGTGTAAAGGAAGACTGCGTAGAGGAAGAGTAGCAGAGAAGGGAGTAGGGAATGAGTAATGTCTTGTTCCAAGCGAAGTGTACCAGAAAGGGACACAGAAGTTCTCCGTGAGAGCAGTGAGATGCAAGGGGCATCAGTAGATGTCAACCTTTCCTCGGCTCATAACGTTCTTTTGGACCATTTTCCCGGAAGACGAAGGCGCATTGGATGGGGATATGGGTGGTATCTATACTGGGGTCCCTACGGTCGCTGATCCAATGAACGCTGCACATCTTCCTGCCAGGGACATCGCACAATGGGCTGGGGGTTCGCCCCCGCGACACCTTCGGGTGTCGCAGAGCCTGTAGAAGAAGAAGAAGAGAGACACAAAGACTGGGGAGTCAGCTTAGCAAGCGGTGATATCAACTGCTCAAACTGTGAAGGAGCTGCTGAGTTGTTTTATTATATGCTAGGTCATGGCCCCCAAGCAACCTCACAGAACGAGGGGTAGTCTAACCGAGTAGGCCCAACACGGGCTGGGCAATGAAGCCCGGAGGGGAGCTTCCGCTCCTCTCCATAGCCCGCACGAAAGAAAGAAAGAAAGAGAGAGAGAGAGAGAGAGATATATATAGATAGGATGTTCCCCTAATGTTCCCCAGTCGTTTCCATTCTCTTCTCAATACTCCTACATTATAAGGTAGAATAATGCAGCCATCCTGGTGGACAGGTGCAAGCTTCTCAGCAGCTTCGATGAGAAGTGGGCCACTTTTGAGCACTGCTACATGCTTGAAATCTTGAAGGTGCAGCACACAGCAAAAGGCCTGGTCTTCAAGGCGATTGAAGTTGAGCACATGGTCAGTGAGCTGGAGAAAAAAGCTGACACAGACATAGAAGACAGCTCAGAATACCAGGTGCATGTTCAGGCGCTTGTGGCTTGCACAGCTCGTCTGAATGTTGCAGCCAACCTCCAGCGCAAGACATTCGATGAGCTCACGGTCGAGATCCGTGAGAATGCCGTGGCTTTGCTCCGAATGTGTGCTATGGACCCTGAGACACCACTCCAAGCCGTCAGGGCCATTGCTCAGCAGGTGGTACAGTCCTTTGACGAGGTGCGGGACTGCCTGCGGGCAATGCGGGACAAAGTTGAGCTCATCAACCCGCAGCTTTCCCAAAATAGCGACCTGGTTAATGCTTTGATGCGCTGGGAGGAAGCCTGGATAATTGGTGTACGCTACATTCAAACTCGGCCTGTACTTGGTGCGTTTTGCAAGATATTACCACGGTTGCTGCGTGCCACGCAGATCTCTAGTAAGTTTGCTTTGATGTGTGCGAATTTTGATGCCGAGCTCTTCTTGGTTCTCCCTCGTATCGTGTGGCTCTCTTTCCTTGACAGCCCAGAGAGCTTCACTGGATTGATTTCCAATCTGCTCCCGCACCGTTTCGTGCATGCTCCTGCACACGGCCTGCCTCAAAGGCGAGCTGGGGATGCGCAATTGCAGCGCATTCGGCGACAACAGAGCTTGCCTGCCCTGGGTTGTGAGACGAGCGAGACGGAGTTAGCTGTGTTGGGTGCAGATCTTCCCCTCAGAGTGCTGCAGAACAAGTATGTGAAGGTCAAGATGGCTCTAGAGCAGGGCCTGGAGCGATATCAAGCTCAGCTGCCTTCCCAAGCAAGAGTGTGGTCATTGATGGTGCAGACTGCAATAAATGGGACAGACAACCAAAGTCAGTTTGCAGCTTGGCTTCGTGGCCTTTGGCAACTAATTTTTTCGGTTTGCTTCCAGGGTCTCGTCTCGCTAACAGGGTGAGGGTTTCCTCGACAGGATATCCTGGACCCTTCAGCAAGAGCTACATCAGCGGCTGCTGTGGAAGCGCTGATGCACGAGTTGGAAAGCTCCCGGCTAGCAGATCCTGCTTGCATTTTCTAAGCCTTGCAGTTTTTTCCCACCTAGCCCAATGTTTGATTGTTTGCCTTGCTTGCTCCACATGTCTCCATCCAATCATTTTGCTTGATATCCTCCGTCGGCACTGATGCTGTGGTAAGGATGCTTTTGCAATGCACTGGTTTTGTTTGCTGCCGGTTTTCTAGAGTCCCAGTTTTTTTTTTCCTAGGGTTGGCTC